GGGAGAGAGAGAGAATATATAGAATATATAATAAATACACAGAAATATATAGAGTAATATACGTAGAATACTAGTATTCATATAACGTTTCTTGGAATAGAGAGTTTAATATATAAATAGTGATTAATGCATTAATATATGCGTGTATGTTGATTTTTAAAAAAGATAAAGACTAAGAGTCTTTTTAATTACAAGCAACATCAAGATAGCTTTTGCAGCAAAAACCATCATGATGTTGGTTAACTAAAAATTCACAACTGTGTTTCACTATATCATATCTTTGTTTAAATTTTACGTAACATATATATTTGTGTCTAACCAAAAACTTAATTAAAAATTTAAACGAAGATATGATATGTATAGTGAAACACAGATAGACACTGTGTATATTTAATTATAGTTAAAAACTTTAGAATGCTTTTAATATTTGTATGAAATTTCTAGAGGCATCAAATATATTTATAAAACACAATTTAACATTTTTGTAATATTTGTACAAAATTTTCATATCGATTTTCCATCACTCAACTCTTTCCTTTTAATAAGAGAGAAACGCGTGTGTTATCTCGCGTTGTGTTACGCAATTTTGACGCAATATACGTAAAGCTATTCAAGCTTATAATTTATATATGAGGTACGCATTGCTATCAAATTGCGCTCACAGCCAGGAAACTAGGAATAGGATGTGTGGCTTCGAAGAACAAGTATGACAATAGTATTGCAGATTGGAAATTGGAATGCCAATGAAATGTTAGCAAAAGGATGGTAAATGTTGATCAGAAAATAATTTCGCAGTTTAAATATTTTATATAATATTGCATAAAATACGTAAAAAATCCTTTATTCATCTACAAATATCTCAATTTACCAAAAATAAATTTTTTTAAACTTCGGCAATTTTCACTTTTAATTAAATATCCGTCGAATTGCAGCACGTGCGATTCTGATAAACGTGATATTCAAATGGATATCCCACTTTGCGTTATATTTTTTACAAAATAGTAACGTAAAACCAACAAGAGAAACGTGCAATTCACGCGTGACTATAAAGTCAAATTATATATATGATCACTAATTGCCGCAATTTAAAACTTTCGTTAACTCGCGCACACAACGTGATAACTTATTATTCACAGATCACATGATAGTTTGTAAACATGTAACTGAATAATATCTAATTGTAAGCCAAACTTCGAAAATATTAATTATTAAATGATTAACTCTAATAATATTAAAATACACATTAAATTTATTGCATAAATTATTGTAAAAGAAACCTATTATTTTTCGCAACATTACATCGTCTGTCTTGAAAGGTAAAAATCTTCCAATCTGACAATACTAAATAATTTTAAAAATAAATCTGGTACTTCGAAAACCTTTTCTCATAAAAATATTGCAATTATAATAATATTTCGAAAACTTTGATCCACCCAGAATTATGATGCAATGAAACAAATAATATCATAATTATTATTTGAAACTGACGTATATACTTTACAAAAAAAAATATTTTATTTTCTCATGTCGCATTTAAAATGCAGCAGTTGAAGTATAAAATATTTCGTGTACATGAAAAAAGTTTACAATATTCAGATGACTTATTCTAGATTTTCAGTATTGGAAATTCGTACCTTCTATCCTCCGTGCAGCGTCGAGATGAAGAGCACTTTGTCCCGCGGGCATAGTTTATAATCGCCTTCACCCTGAAATTATATCTTCTTATATCTCTATACTTCTTATATCTTTTTGGTCAATAGACCGATACGAAATATAACTAAAAAGTTAACATAAAACATGATAAAAAATAATAAGCTTAAGGAAATATTTTAATTTACATATATCAATATCTATATATTCTTTAAGAAATTAAAAGTCAATTTTCATTCAAAATTTAATTGTATACTATTTCTTCGTATCATTTGTTTCCAGAAGTTTTAAGTAAATACTTCAAACAAGTAATTCAAGTAATAATTTTCACTTTACTTTAAGTTGCACTTTATTATAATTTTACTTTATTTTTAAATTTCAAACTTCAATCAAAAAACTTTATTACATCTTTTTAATAGAGTTTGGAAATTAAAATTTTATTATTTGCATCTTAAGAGTTTGAGTTATAAAAACCCTTATAGACCTTCAGTCATTTATTTAAATAATAGTTACGGCTTGATGTTTTAAAATCAAGGAAAAGAGTTGCTTAAGAAATCCATGATATAGATGAAAATTCAATGAATGCCCTATATACCCTAAATGAAGATAGACTGACTTTACCAAGATTTCATCTTTAATTCTGAGTTCATGCCTTTAAACATCCTTTAACTTTCGAGATAGCAAAGATATCCAAAAAGAGATTACATAGATATGCAAGATTCGAAAAAGTTAGATTTTCACGAGCGCAACTATATTACAGAAAAAGAGGGACGCGAGTGGAAAAAGAAACGGGTGAAAAAGAAAGCAGATGACATGTATACTCTCTCTGTGTGTGACACACACACACACACACACACACACACACGCGCGCGCGCGCGCGCATACGCACACATACATGTGCCTTGAGAAAAGAAGCGAGCCGAGCGAAAAGACGCGGAAACGCAAAAGCCGCGCAAAAGCGAAGCTGCGCGGAGAAGCTTCGCCAAGAAGCGACGATATTATCATAATAATGGCCAGAGCCATCATCTTTTCCCTCGTTCCGACGCTCCCTGACGCTGCAGCATCTTCCCGCTCGAACGTTACCCCGGCGAGAACCGCGTCTTTCCTCCTAATAGCCGCGGCGTGTACATTTACAAATTTAAAATGATAATTCTCTCCGTGGGTGTGGCAAACCGAGGTCATTTGCGCCCTTTCAGCGTCCGGAGTCGCTCCGTTATCCCGCACCCTATCTAGCGCGCAAGTAGCGATGGCGATGGTAGCCGACAGACCGATTATGCCGTTTGTAAAAACCGGTCACGGGGTATCCCGTTTGTCAGACGCCAGAAACAGCCGTGCGTCACTGTGGGAGTTGGCGACGTGGGAAAAGAAATATCGTGCGACGAGGGGTATCATTCGCCTCCGCAACATTTCTCTGTGCGTTTGAGATTAATATTTTAAATAATCACACTCGGTAACTTTTCGGCTTTCGCAAATCGTTCAAGCTCTTCATTTTATTAATCCTAAAATACACAAACATGACTTTTAATATGTTCCCTTCCACGTGAAATGTTCGTATATATCGTTCAGACTACTTGGTGGTCTGTATTTATTGTAAATAGTTATACGTGTATTATGTATAGTGCAGTTATTGTATATCATGGAAACATTGTTATTTAATAATATAATAATAAAACTGTAGTTTTATAAATATTGCATGTTATAAATAAAACTATTAATATCTCTCGACAGCGTGAAGTGTATATAACAGAAAGTTATCGAAAAGCAGTTCGGTAAAAAACAAGTTTAAATAAAATCTTATGATTTTTATTCATAATTTGCTTTTCTTCTATCTTCAGCCCAATCTTACGTTAATCCAAAAATATTTTGAATTGTTCTTTTCTGATTATGATTCTGCAATTCTTCATTAGGAAATGTATTCTAAACTTATTGCAAGCAAAGGAAAAAAAATTTCGAAATAGGTATAAAACAATTATACACGGAATATACAATATATGAATATTGAAATAGCTGAATCAGATAGAGAACTTGTATGAAATTCTTGAAAAAATTTAAACAATTATTGCGCAAAGAAAGTAGTCACTTTTATTGAATATTTAAATATGTCTCTCTACTAATAAATTTTTATTAATTTTAGAAAAGAAAATATAAATTCCGTCTTCAAAGAATTCAGTTGCCGAATACGGTGCATTAACTTCTCATATCAGTGTGACGACTTAAGAATCACGTAGCTAAGTAATTCAATCCTTTTCGAATTTAAATCCGTCTGCCATTCTCGTTGTGCATTTAAATCTATATTTAAAAGATTTTCCTTAAAATGAAGTTTTAATAATTCGAATATATTTTTAAGATGTATATAAAAAATTTATCTTGAAAGAAAATGTAGTGGAAAAGTAGAAAAGCAAAAATCAAATATATGATTTTAATTTTATAAACGTTTTAAGTCAGATTTGAGAATTTTAGTTACCACTAAAAAATATAATAGATAAATAATTTTAAATTTATTATATACTATTTTTCTGTTTTGCAATCTTGATAATATTATTTTACAATATTTAGCAAGATTTAGCATAAGTAGAATTAGCATAAGTAACGCGAAATTTAATGACTATATAAAAAGTTCTACTTTAATTTCACTCGTAAAAAATGGCATTAGTTCTAAATTTAATTATGGCTATAAATACTAAACACAAATAGTGTTTTTAATTAATGTTGGTAATTTTTTAGAATACCTCCCCTCAAATCTTAATAAAAATACACTTATTCGATGTGTTTTCACTCAAAACGAAAAAGAATCTGGCAAAAAAACGCAGTAATCGGCCTCGTGAATCGAGTTATTAAGTGTTAAAGTTGAAGACTTTAGAGATTGAGATATGTATTACATCCTGATTCAATACAGCTGTATGTATACATTCTGCATTAATTACACAAATTCACTGCTTTTAAAAACACAAATTCTCTGCTTCACAAATTCACTACTAATGCAAAGAATTTGTGTGCTTAAAGCAGTGAATTTTTGTATGTGAAGCAATGAATTTGTGTTTTTAAAGCAATTTTAAAGCAGTGAATTTGTGTAATTAATGCAGAACGTATACATAGAGCTGTAGCGAAAAAATCGAAATGACAAATATTTTAACCTCTAAAGTCTCCAACTTTAACGCTTAATAACTCGATTCACGAGACCGACCACCGCGGTTTCTTTTTGCTAGATTCTTTCGTTTTGAGTGAAAACACGTCGAATAAGTGTATTTTATTAAGATTTGAGATGAGAGGGGGGGGAGGGTATTCTAAATAATTACCTCCAAATTGGCCGAGAAAGATGTAGTCGAAGGACGATTCTTGAAAAACTTGTGTACTTGATGAACTTTTAGTCAAAAGAACTTACGATCATCGAATACATTGGCATAATTCTCTCATAAAAATTGTTCCAATATGTGATATTCGAGGAGAAGTACATTGCACATAGATACACGTGTAGATGAAATACAGTAAATGGAACAGACACTATGTCCAAAAACTCACCAGTAATTCCCAGTCGGCATCGTTAACCAGAACTAAGATGCCCGGTCTCCTAGAGAAACAAGATAAACTTTTTAAATCGAGTTGCTCGTTCCGCTGCTGCCAGCGTATTGTGTGTATGTCGAAAACTTACAGATACCGTACTCTCTATCAATTACGGGAAGTTGGAGGTACAAGCGCGAAACGAACGCGAAACGAGCGCGAAACGAACATGAAACAATGAGCGAACGAAAACCCGCCGCGATCAGCCTCGATCATTCACTGCGAAAAACTGTCACTCGCAAAAACGAAAATTTCAAAATGGATGTCCCGCCAATATCGTTCAACCGATTGGCTGATACCATTCGAGTCGTTGAGCCCATAGAATTGGCCTGAATTGAGCCTACAGAATCGACACGACCGCGACTCGCAGCCGACTTCACTATGCTCGCTTACATCATGTAGACGCATACCGTATATACGCCATTTCATTCGTTTTGATCTCGAATTCGCGATTTTCAATATTTTCTTTTCCTTTTTCCTTCGAGCGAAATATAAAAATAGAACAAACTAAAATCGAGAGAAATGTGAAATATACGCCGCCATCAGTTCTCGTTTTAGTCTCGTAAAAACTATCGAAAGATAACATCTCGCAAATCCAATCATTGTACAAATCATTATCATTATGTCACGAAAGCGAGCACTATACTAATCAACGACGTTAACATGCGATATTTAATCTGATAAATCATAGATTTTTGACATATTTGCGAACAACAATTTTCAACAGTGACGAGAAGTCGATTCTTTCTCTCTAATTATCAAGCTTATCAACATCGATTTAATGTAAAATAAAATATGCCAAAACATAACGTACGTTAAATTGATAATGAGAATAATAACCGAATTAAATCACTTTACTTTACCGTAAATTTTTTACCATACAATTTTCAATCGGCTACAAAAAACGCAATTACAAGAAATCGATTCATACGACAATTCCGTATTTATATATTTATAAAGGCCCGTATTTAGAACGCGCTTTATCGATAAAAATATAAGAATTGATTATGTGAATACCGACTTTAAGCCATTTTCTACAATTTTTAAACTGTAAGCCGTAGAAATTGATCAATTACGAGTACAATTGAATGAGAGGAGAATAATTAACTATGGCCGGTATAGTCAGATCTAATATTCAAGACCGTCTTAAGTACAAACTTAAGAAGTCACGAACCAATCAGAGGGCCGTATTAGCGTCTTAAGACATTACTTCAGATAATCTTGAAATAAGATCGGACTATGAATACCGTCCTATGATTCATTCATTTCGTAAGATGCGTAAGCCCGGATCTATAATAGATTTTTAAGCTTTTAGTCATAAGAAATGGACAAATCATAATCTATTATTCTTCTCGCATTCAATTGTAATTGATCAAATTTTATGGCTTAAAGCTTAAAACTAATGTAAAAATTTATGCTGCGGTCTAAGGATGGAGTCATATGAGATGTATTTGCCGTGTAAAGCTAAAAACACAATAAGCACAAGCAATAGTAGAATAAGTACACGAAACAGGGAATAACTAGCCATCCAATCAAAGCTTTGGGATATACAATAAATTCAATATTATACTCCAGAGCTCTAATTGAATAACACGTTATTTTCTATTTCTCGTTCCTATTGCCTGTATGTTACCTATTGCCTGTACCTATTGTGTTTCCAGTTTTACGCGTACCAGCGTAACCAATCAGTAAAATGTAAAACTACAACAACGGATCGCTTCTGATTGGTTACGCGATTACGCGATACGCGTAAAATATACCTCATGGGGCCAAGAATCCACACAACTTGCATAGTCGCATAAACGTGTGAATAAAGAAAATTATTCAATCACATTTTACATGCGACTTTAAAAAAGAAATGTAATTGGATAATTTTGTTTATGCAGCCTAAAGCCCTCGTAAAGACAACAGCGCTTTGACATCGAGTGCTTAAAAAGCCGATTGTGGGGATAAAATTTACCCCTATCATCCGTTTTTCATCAATCAACGTTCGGTGTGAAAGCATCGTTGTTGTCCATAGGTTTGTCCTATTTTAGCGAAAATTCTTGTACGGTTTACCTTCCTTTTCCTTCCGTGTTGGAGAGGAAAAGAGAAAAGACAAATCGTACAAAAAGTTGAGCTAAAAAGAACAAGCCTCTTATGAGAATCTGGACAAACTTGTATGTACCATAGCACCGACAAGATACTATTAAAGATCGACATCCTTATGAGAGTACGCGTAAATATTGAAGTAATTAAAAGTTAAAAACTGATAATATTGTACTTATTTTATGATTTATTAGTTTAATAGACGTATTTATGCATTTAGAACTCAATAATACTCAATTTTTCTCTATGAGAAATTGTGATATCAGTGTTATCGTCAAAGTTTGATTATCAACAGAGATGATAACTGCGGAGAAAAAAATTGTAATTTTTCTACAATATATAGGATATTGCAGCTTAGCAAGTATGCATATTTATTTATGGAACATTTATGTAAAAGTCATGAATTTAATAATGTATAAGTCAAATATTTATGTCAAATATTTATGTCATATTTATATCAATTGTCGATAATGTCAGCGTTCTTCAATTACCTTCGGGCCCTTTTCATACCGCCGAAAATTTGCCCAGGATTCACGGTCTTTAATAATATCTCGTCAGTAATCTCTCTAGAAACCTTCAAGAGTCTGGCCACTCTCAACTACATTCTGATAGGATAATTTTGAATTAGACATGGCGGAACTTGTCATGGAAAATCCTTTGTCACTTTAAATTATATGCACAATCGAGGACACAACAATTAGGCATTTTTCTTGTTACCAATAAATTCTTTTATAGCATCTTGCCTGATGATGAGACTTTTTGCTATGGATAATAGCGCGTGACCATAATAGCAGGTAACCTTAGTATGTGACCCTACTTATATACAATATGTACTCTGCCAAATATACAAAGCCTAATGTCGCCGCCATTCATAATATGTATCTACTCTCTGCAATGTAAAGCAAAGTATTTCCGCCATATTTATCCCGTGACCAGACTCTTAACTTGAGGATCTCTATTCTATACCGGAATGCATCGAAAGATACAGATACTGACATCTGTGAATTGCGCGTGCGACCGGGGCGATATGCGCCATGCGCCACTATATTGTATATATGCATGTATGTACGTAGTGTACGCGGCCATCTTCATTAACGATGTCGGCCGTCGCCGTAGTCGGTCGATCCCATTCATTTTCGGTCTGTGCGAATTCACGTGACTGATGTGACGCGTTTATATGCAAAGTAAACCTGCAGTGTTCGATCGACACGGCTAAATACTGCGGATATCGCGTTATTAGAATTCTTTCAAGTTCTTTTGTTTCGCGGCCGCAAACAAACGTCGAAGAGGTGTATGACTATATGTAAGATCACTTACACCGTGTCGCCCTGCATAAAGAGCTCGGGCCGTTCTGTCAAGAGGTTATCCCGCAGCCAGCTTAGCAGTCGTTTCAGCGTCCCTGTAGAATCGATTGATTACTATTAACGACTAAAAGAGACAAAGCTACGGGCACGAGCTAACTGCTTCCGAGCAGTATCGAGGATACTTACATTCCTCACCGGGTAAGTCCACCTCGTGCCGCTTCTTTCCATCAAATAACAACTCTGCTCCACCCCTGCGAACATTCGACAGACGACGTGATTTGTTCGTCCCGCGCGGCGATACTTTATCTCATCGCATGACGCATGCTTATATGAAATTTCAATTTTCTCGGTCTTACCCGAACTCGATAGTGAGAGGAAGTCCAACCGTAGACATCGTGAATTGTGAAACCGAGAGTTCAAAGAACGTTTCTCTCCTTTCCTACTAGTTAGGTTAGAATTGGATTATCGTGCGCGCGTTCCTGCAATTCGTGCAGAACTTTCAGCGATGATCACTGCCATCGAATGCCAGGTTAGGTTTGTCGAAAAAAGAGAAGAGGAAAAAAAAGGCGCACTGATGAATTTTCATTCGTATGCGTCGAAGGCCGGGATCGATTGTCGTAATAAAACGAATTAAATGGAGCTTTCGCCGTGTGTATATATATATACACACACATATGCTTACCGCTGTATATATGTATATACGTGAGATTTGGCACGATCCTCTACTACGGCTCGTACAGACTAGAGAGCGCGCATACGCATGCGCATGCGTGGCAAAAACCTCGGCATTTACACTTTACAGCGGTGTCAGCGGTGCGTTTGTATGTACATACACAGTGCGAGGATCAGCGAGGAGAGCAAAGAGTGCTTGTTGTAAATCTCAATGAAATGATCTAAACCGTAATTTCGATCGATTGACACACTCTGCGTGAATCGAACTTTCAATTATTACCACGCGGTCGCGAGTGAAAAGAGGAGTAGCTGGTAGACCCGCTCGATTCTGTCCATCACGTATGTACGTTAGTCCTGCAACGTGCAGGTCATTAATCTTGCGTGATATCGGTACCGGGGGAAAGAATTAAGAGAGAGTGCGTCTTAACGGCCGATTGTCCATCACGCTAGCGATCCATATTATCAAACAAGTACGCGAATTATTTCCGACGACACGTAAACGATGCGGCAGCGGCATGACGATATTACGAGATATCGTTCAAAGTGCGGCCTGTAATGGCGGCTGATGAAAAAGTGTTTTCCATTGCGCGCCACGTATGTTCACCGAGCCGGCAAACGTCTGTCTACTTAACGTCTGTCTGAAAATAATCGGAAATAAATCGGACAATCAATTAATTCCGTCGTCTTCGCTCTTCGATCGTTAGATCGCATCAATTGATAATAATCCGCGATTCCTTCTTGCCCATAGTTTTCCACGATGTCGGAGAACAGCGAGCACTCGCCCGACGACACCGAGACGGAGACAAAGGCGATGGAAGATCTTCCTAACGATTCATCCAAGAGCGAAACGAAATTAATGAATCAGGCCGACACGGCTCTGCTCGAGGATGAGGAAATGCCGACGTACATCAGTGTGTCTAGTATCACAAGACCAGATGACTCGGACATTGTTAACGTGAAGCAGCGTGAAAATGAGTCTCGAGAGATGGAAGGAGATCGTAGCCCGAGTCCCTATCCTAGCGACGATCAAGCAGCGAGTAGTGTGTATGTTTTATCATCTGAAGAAGAAATCGATCAACATCCTTATAATGATGAAGATGACGAAGATGAATATGGAGATAGTGACGGTAAGTTAATAATAAAGAGACTTGTGCCTGATTTAGATCCATAAAAATTCAGCCAACGGAATATATAGTTCAGTTAGGACCAATTAAGACTGGCAGCCCTATTGGTTGAATTTTAGGATTTTAAGAAGGCCGAAGCATAAACCAAGCGTTAGAGATATAGAGAATAAGAGAATAGAATTGGCTTAGTACATATTCAACTCGAGCAATAGTCGATGTCTTTGAACTTATAATATTGATATAACCGTATATTTTTTAGTAGTATGTAGCTTTCATCATGTTACAGATATGGAAAATTTAGAGCTTGATAATGATTTTGATTCGGATCATCCAAGTAACATGAAGCATTTAATGGATGACGAGGATGATGATGATGAAGATGACGAAGATGAAGAAGATGATGAAGACAGTCCTAGACAAATGCATGATGGTATCGATGATAACTACGAGACAGATTATTATGATGGAAGATCTGATGATTTTATCTTCAATAGGAGATTGAAAAATCGTCACAAAGAAAAAAGCCTTTCTCTTCAAGATTTGAAAATGTACAAGAATAATATGAATGATGGATATTTTAAAACAAGACACCCACAAGATTTAAGACCAAATTATCCAAACATTCCAGAACAAGCTATTGTGTATTCTATGATTCAGAGAAAGCAACCAATACCAGGAAAATATCATTATGTACAAAGCAAAGTTAAACGCTATATCAAAGATATAAAAGACCAAAATAGACGTTCCATGGAAAAACATGTAAAACAACATCAGGAGGATACAAGCCACTATAAAAGTAACAGCGATCACAAAAACAATGACACAGAAAAAACAACGCCTACAGTGACTAACAAGACAATAAAAGATTATGCCGAAAGAACGATCAAGGAGTTGGAAATCGCAGAGACATGCGAGAATAGCATGGATAAAGTGGCCTACAATACTATTACTACGCCAATAATATTGAATGGACAAGAAAATAAAAACTGTTTAGAGCCAATACATGAGGAATCCATACCGACTCAAGTTCAAATAGATATACCATTTGAGTCAACGCAAAATGAAAGAGATCTTGCAAATACAGATAGTAAAATGCAAAAACAAAATGGAACAATTGAAGATAAATCGTTAAAATTCAATTATACTGATAAAGAAATTCCAAATTTTTCACCTCTCACTCAAAATGGTCATCAAGAAATACCAACGGTATTTTACGATTTGCGGACTTTAAGTTATGACGAGTATATGCATGGCACTTCTAATTCTAGTCAAAAAACTGATTTAAATAAAAACGCCCATGTTATTGAGCAAGAACATATTCAATCTGAGGCATTTAATAATTCAGATCTAATGGAAGTATCCACAGATGGAGAAGAAGAGATTTGTTCTTTAAGGATTGAGAATATAAAAAGCATTAAGACAATGTCAGATGAAGCAAAACATAATAATGAGCAAATAACTTTTGAGAAAACAAATGAACAATTCAAGAATTTGATTACTTCAGAAGTTACCACATTGAAAAAGAAATTAACGCAGAAGACTGTAAAATATAACAGTCTGCTTGATACATATCAAAAGCAGCTTATGGAAAATTTAAAAATGAAACAGGAATTGGATGAACTGAGAAAAACATTAGCAAAATATGAAAAAGAAAACAAACCTCCGGAACAGAAGGTTGCATCAGTTCAAACAGACGTTTTTATTGATTCTGTATCTAATCAACCCCAAGATCAAATTCAGCCCGCACATGTCAAACAATCCAATAATAAAATATCAGGTAGTAGTGTAGCTTCGACGCTAAGCTCTATAGATCATTGGAGTTCCAGTGCTTGTAATTTATCAGTGTCCATTAAACCACCTGAAATAACGAAAACGTTACAGTCTGACGATAGTATAGTATTGACTGACGGTACACCGAAAAAAACACGTTCATTATCACGCGCATTTATTACTTCCTCCCGAATCTTGCAAACTCTTTCAAGTATTACACAGGGAAAAACAAAGCCAGAAAGTCCATTGGTACAAAATTCGAAGAAAAGATTAAATGAAAATGTATCGATGGATCTGCAAAATGATGAGAGTAATTATCAATGTCTCCCTTCCAGCTCTAAGAAAAGAAAGATTACAGACATTCTTGAACCATCTAATTTTCTACAATCTTTTAAAGTTTCCCAATCTTCTGTAGAATCACATACAAAGTTTAATGAAACGCTTTCAGAATCCCAATTTAAAAACTCGTGTGATTCGATAAATAAGAATATAGATTTGCAATCAAGTTTACCTGATGCTAATACAAGTCAATTAGGAGCTGCTACATCTATGGTAGAGAGCAAGACAGAAACCGCTGATGATCCAGAGGATAATGTAAAGTGCTTTGTATATCGCGAGGACGAAAATAGTAAAGATCGTAGTTTTCTCATTCTAGCAGAGGAGCCTGAAAATGATAAGGCTATTAATGAAAAAGGACGCAGGCGAGAATGCGGTCCGTACTTGCTTGGTAATGTAGAAGTAAGAATGTCTGAGATGAACGGAACAATCAACATTTGGGGTAAAGAGGTAAGTGATCTTATAAATTATAATTTATAAAGAAACTAATTTCAAGATTCTGTTGTACTCAAACTAAAATGTATTTTTCAGATCAGTCAAGAATCCACTGCTGAAACTGAAAATGATACAGAAGCATCTACTAAAATGAAAGACAAAAATCATCATTATTGGCAAAAAACACCAAATACCAGATTCAATGGCAGTAATTTAGTATGTTCAACAAGTAAAAAATCAAAAAGTCCTCCTAGATTTGAACTATCCTCAGCAGCATCTAATTTTTCATGTCTACATTCACCTTCGTTTAACGTAGCAAAAGCATCTTGTTCTACAGATAAAGCAGATAAATTATGTAATTCAAATGCATGCGAAGACTGTGATTTCTCAAAATATCGTAAGGAATGGCTAAGATATAAACGAATACATCCCCAAGAAAAATTACATTCCTGCTGTACTCATGATATAGACACGTCAGAGAAGAAGTGCAATTGTTCCTTACATAACGAAAAGCAAAAGTTCGAAGATAGTTTTATTTATAGCAAAGAAAAGATAAGCACTCAAGAACGTCGACAAAGTTTTTCAAGAAACCTAGAGCCTAACAAGCATTTACATGAAAATATTGCCTCAGAAGGCAACGAGCACGTTTGTAAAAATTGTACGACGTGTCATCATTCATCGCATAATTCAGAGAATTGTCAAGAAAATCACAAATGTTGTACCATGTTAAAAGAAACTTGTGAGCCGCTAATGATGAATATAGATCGGGAATATAACGAATCATGTAGTCACTCGTCTCCTAATAGACATGAAGAAGAGCCGTTAATAAAGCTGAAACAATGTAGTGAAAGACCAGAGGTGAGTTTACGCCATGTACGAATAATTTTATGAATATAATAAAAATTTGTATGGTTATAACTGTATGTGTGATAACTCGTAATTATTTTCTCTTTAGGCGAGACGACGAAGAATAATTGGAAAAAGGGTACGAGGAATTTTAATGGATCTCGTACGAGGGTGTGGAGATTGTTACAATTCTAATCCTAATGTATCCGGTAATAACAAAAGCTGTACACACGAGAAAGAATCTTATTTAAGAAGTTGTTCTCCACAAATCAAAATTTCGCCGTATGCATCTCCAGAACCATTGTGTTCAAATGCAGGACAACCCGGAAGGTGTGCTTTCAAATATTTCTTAAAACTTTTTGTCATTATACATACAGCATTCCATAATTGTGATAGTAACTAGATGTAACATTATTTATGAAATTTATAATATCTTTTGTTAGTAAAAGTGAAAATCTTAAATTGTAATAAAACTAAATATCTGCTCCTTAGATTATATAATATCAATCTTGTAACATCATGATTGTTTTACTTATTTACAGATGCTGCCATGCG